TCTGCCGTGTATGGTAGGTGTTGCCCAGCTGGCCTCACCCCAGTTCCCTTTGAGGATCTACCTTTTTAGACAGCCCTCCCCCCGTGCCCTAGTTACCGTCTTTAAGCCACAGGATTTTTGCCTTAATTACACTCCTGAGATGATGGCTAACAAGAACTTTGTGATTTCAGGGCAAAGATGGCACTGCAGCAGTACCTGGCGTGACGGGGGCACCCTGGGCACCTGCAAGCATCCCACATCCTTGTTAAAGGAAGTACAGGAACTAGCCTCATTTGATTCCTTCTATTTGCACAAGTCACCTTGGACTGCAGGGAGCTGTTTTGCAAAAGCAATTTGGTAGGCTTAGATCTCAAATTCATCTTGAGAACATTTTTTTGAGGTAGTAATTTCCTCAGAGGACTATTGTGTTTTGTTTTGTTTTGTTTTTCTGAGCTACCTGGACTCTTTATTAGAACAATCAATCATTTTCCTTTGGACCTACAATTTTTTGCCTATGCTGCAGCCACTTTGTGATTGAGAATGAATGTGTCTCTGCACACATAGGTGTGTGTGCGTGTGTGCCTGTGTGTGCACGTGGGTCAGAATGAATGGACGTGTGTGTGTGAGGGATACCTCAAATTTTTCTTTTCTTATTTTGTGTGAAAATCTCTTTTCTACAGATTTTCCAGGGTTTAAGCATTGCTTGCTGTATAAAAAACTTTACTGAATTATATACAGTTTGAATGAAATGTTATTTTAAAAACAAAACAATTGTTAAGTGTTCCATAAAGGTTATGTTGAATTTTGGTCAGATGAATATTTGTAAGTAAAAAAATATATGCATTTCTGAACCTCAACTTACATAGATTTTCTTTATAAAAAAAACAAAAAACAAAAAAAAACAAAAAAAGGTTGGCTGTAGTTGGCCTGAATAACAGGCATGATATATGGTGCTGTGCAAAATAGTAAGCTAGCATCTTACTGCCGTCAATATCAGCAGGTACAGAGCCTCTTTCAGCCTAATTCAATAAGCTCTCAGGCTTCCAAGTCAGATGGACAGGGTGGAGTGGAGTGAAGCAACAAATTCACCATAGGACTTCTGAACCATCAGGGGGAAATATAACTACTGATAGTGAAAGCCCAGCCCTGACCTGGCACGCTACACTTGGCAGGAACTGGGCACCGAGAGCCTCCCGACTGCCCTAAATCCTATCATCGGTGTGGCGCTATCTGGCAGGATGTAGCACCAGTCATGGAACCTTATGCTCAAACGAAAGTAGGTCATCACTTCCTGGAAACAAAGTCCGATCACCTTGTGCTTCCTGAAACAGTATATATCACTGTGAAACTCAAGAATGCTCTACAGACTCACCTGTAGAAAGAAACAAAGAACAGGATAGTTCAGAAAGCTGTTTTTCTCTCACTTAGCTCTACTCCGCTAACTCTACTAGTCACTCAGGACTGCTATTCAGTGTGCTTTTGTACAGTGAGATCAAAATTTGAGTAAGAGACGTGGCTGAGATTTTGTCCTGCATGAAGCCCAAAGCACTGAAGTTTGAGCGAGGGAAGGTGACTCTCCCCACCGGATGGAAGATGGCTTCTGGGATAGCGAGTGCTACTTCACCCTCCTGCAGCCCTTAGCTCGGGACCTGGCTCCAGCTTCTGGGTCAGCTTCAAAGTGAACTCAGCAGAGGTTGCTCTTCACTGTGCAGAGGAACAACCAGCCTTCCTTCTCCCTTTGCTAAAAGAAGTTCAGAGACATCGCAGCCCAGAAGCGAGGTCTGCGACCCAGCCGCTTGTCATGAGCGTTTGCCACTAACAGAGTCCCAAGTCTCCCAGCCACTCCCGACGGCGCTGCTCACACAACAGCCTCCCCGTCACCAACCTGTACCTTCCTTGGAGGATTTAAATATGTTTGATTGCAAATGAATGTTTTGAAGTGTATTTAATGCAATTTTTCCTGTTCTCAACATGACCACCCAAGATTCAAACACAGAGATTTCCAAGTTGTTATTTTTTCCAGAGCATCACCGATTTAAAAACCTGTCACAGCAGGGACTTGGGTTTTGTGCGGCCATCAGAGTGTTAACATGAGAACACTAGTTTAAAGCAAATTGAGTTTATTGGGAATAAAGCCTTATTTAGGTCCACTCATTGACATTTCTAGCACTGAGAAAATGTCCATGGTTGGCATTTGTAACCCAAAACGCTATAGAGTTGGTAAATATAAAGAAACCAATAACGAATTGCTGAGACAATCTTGAAGCATTAGAAAGCTGAAATCCCAATGAACCAACACTTCCACACTTAAACTCTGTGGATAAATCTTGCCTGTGGCTATAAACAGATGGTCAGAGAAAAAGTGCTTTACTATAATTAACTTTTCTGATTTGAATGAAGGAAAAATGTATTTATTAAAGCTGTTTGCTGCTTTATGCAGGTGCAGTGTTCAGTCAGCAAGGAAGTGGGAGGAATGGGGCGTGGTCTGTGTCTCCACCCAAGTCCTTCACTAAGCTTCTCGCTCTCTCTAACACTGCACTCTGTTTCTCCTTTTGTGCCCTGATTGTAACCCAAAATTTATGAACTAGAAAAGAATGTCCAGTTTAATAAGTTGCATTTTTTTTTCCTTAAGCACTTTATGCAGAACAATACATGTTCTTCTGGTAGTGTTTGGATAATATGATTTTAACACATGCTAATAAAAGCCAAGAAAAAATCATGGCAACTTCTAAAAAGGAGTCTGTTTTCCAAATGTCTAGAACATTAGGAAACATTAGAAGATACTGTGTACTGGCTTTTGGAGCCTAGGATTCTTGGTGAGTAAGAGGCCCGGAAGTGACTGCATTTGAGCACGGGGGCCGGTGCCCTGTGGTAGTTAGAGCTACCCTACAGGGGCATCTGCAGCGGGCCGGGAGCCCCACCTCTTGGCCTCCTGAAGGCTAACGGACCCTCTCCAGGTGGCCACACCCAGCCACCAGGACCTCCCTAGTGTTGTGTGTCTACTCCTTCCGTCCTGTCCTCAGCCACTTTTCCACTGCCACCACCCACTGGACTCAGGTCCGTGGTTTGGCGGATGACCAGCTGCTCACTCTCCTCAGGGATGCCCAGGTGCTCTTCACTTACTCACTGCACACTTTCTCCTTTTCCCCGTCTCTAAAATGCAGGGAAGCACCTCCTATCTCTTGGGCTTCCTAGAAACAGAAAGCCAAGGACATCTACCCTAGAGGTTGGGGGGAGGGGGCTGAGGTGGTCGGCTGGGAAGGGAATTCCCTTGCCACAGGGCAGACATGGAAGTGAGCTGGGAAATGGGGGACTGACCCCAGATTCTGATGGAGAGCCGATGGGGAAGGGGTCCCAACACCTTGCCACCTGGGATGGGGCCAGTGCTGCCCCAGTCCTGCTCCTTTGCAGATTTCTCCCACTTCCTGGGCAGAGAGGCATGTGTGGGTTTCCAGCAGGAGGCTAGTTTTCGCCTATGACTTGGCTTCTGGGAAAACTGAGGGAGCCTCTGGCTCCTGGCCTTGGCTCTGCTGGGCAGTCAGCCCTCTCGCTGAGTGGAGGGCCAGAGCGAGTCCTTCGGAAGGAAGCTCCGTCTTTATTTCTTGGAGCAGAGCCTGCCCTCCACCCTGACAGTCCCTCATGCCCAGGAGGTGAGAGGCCTACATGCCCCAGACAGTGCCCATCCTACATCCTCTGGTTTGCTTCCATTGTAGGAAGCCAGGCCTGGGTCTCTGCCAAGGAGTTCCATCCTCAGAGTGGGCTGACATTTTAGCCAGTCTCAGGAGGCTTCTCTCCAACCCTGCCCCCATTCCTTCTGCCTTGAGCCTTCCAAACTGAGAAAAGAAATGCTGTACCAAGTTCTTGATGGAAAGAGCATGTCACCAGCTCTACCACTCTAATACCTTCCTGCCTTCCCTTTCCAGCCCTGCTACCCCCAGCTACTTCCTGGGAAGGCTTAAAGGTCATCTCGGTGACACACATCACCCCCACGGCCTCGGTCCCCCCACCTACTCTTCTCTCCCCAGCCTGCTTTTAGAGGCCTTGGTCACACCATTTCTCATCTCTCTGGTGATGGAAGATCCTTGGCTTCCTAGCTTCCAGGGAGACTTGCTACCCATTTCTCGCAGCCTAACTCATCCTTCTGTCCCCAGTGCCAGCATAAAATTGGCAAAAAGAGCAATTCACCTAAGAAGGGCAGTCTTCTGGGAGCTAACTGTGCATTTAAAGAAGTTCTTCAAGTCATAAGCAAAGTCTTCTGGAGAAAACCAGCAAATGAGATCACTAACATTTGTCTTGGGGAGTGGACAAACACAGCCTTTTGCTCAGAGAGGAAAGCAGATGGGCTTAGTGAATTTACAAATAGACCACAGAGCAAACTAGCAGGAGGGAGTGGCTATCCATTTTAGTATTCATAGGGGTTAATAATAGTTAACATTCTCCTGAAAACCGCCAGTGACTGTCAAGGGCACAACCGTGGAAGGATGGCTAAACCAGGTGATTTAGTAAAGGCTGGAGGCAACTTGGCTCTGTTGGGAGCTCTCAGACTTTAGGCTGTAGCCAGAATCAGAAACCAAAGAAATGGGGTAAGGGAGCGTCAAGAAAATGAGATAAACCCTGGTTCCAAATGTAACTCCCAAGCACTGCCTTATGAACATGGCCTGATCCATGGAGAGCCTTGCGGGGCCAGTCACGCAGCATTGCGGGACTGCCTCTCTGACTTGGGCAGGCAGCATGAAGATTAAAGCTGTTTTCTGTCTGCTTCCACGTCGCTATGCCTGGAAGTGTTCTAACCAATCTTTTTGTACTGTTTTCAAGTTCATAGTTATCAACTTGAACTCTAGAATTATTTACTCTATAAAGTAGATTTATTATTGGGGAAACACTGTCCTCTTTAACTCATCATCCACTGAGATGACACCAGGTCACACCAGGATACAATAACTGACATCCATTTATTTTATAAAATCCCAGAGGTAGCAAAAAAAAAAAATGTTCTATATACTATTTAATAAGGCAGGAAAGTATATACACTGTTTATTGTTCATGAGAGATAGCTAAACCAGGAAAGTATTGGTGCTGAAAAGTTCCATTTCTGGAGGCTTCCTTCTGTGCAGCAGACTGGAGTGCACGGACATTCCATCTTGTGGCCTCATGGCCTTGCCCTGGTCACATGCTCCAGAAAAGCCACACGGCCGTCTCAGTCCATGTCCTCAGGCGAGTGAAGCACCTCAGTGGGGCCCACAGCTCCTCCTTCAGCCTCCTGGCCTGTGGGATGATGGATATTCTGCAGGACTTCTGAAACCTGGCCCTGTCCCAGCCCTCTCTCCCACTCACCAAAAGAAACAGGAAAACGGGGTCTAACTGCATTACAGAGGATGAAGTGAGGGGTCAGGGTGGAGGAGACAGCAGAGAGAGGCCTTAGTGTGTTAGGGACCAGGAATTAAAAATTAGAACAAAGGGTCCCTGGCTGACTTGGTCGGTGGAGCATGTGACTCGATCTTGGGGGTGTGAGTTCGAGCCCCGTGTTGGGTGTGGAGGTTGCTTAAAACTCTTAAAAATAAATTGGGACTAGACATTTAATATGTGTCAGGCCCCAGGCTAAGAACTTTACTATCCTTTGTCTCCTTTCATCTTCACGACAGCCCTGTGAGGAAGATCGCTATTGTGGAGTTATTATTATGGGGCTAATAATGAGTCTGTCATTATCTCTATTTCACAGATAAGGTAACTGAGGCCCAAAAAAGGTGTAACTTTCCCGAGGCTATTCAGCTAGTAAATAGTGGAGCCAGGATTCAAGCCCAGGACTGTCTTGCCTCCAGTGCCCTTGACCCCTGCCCCTTAGCCGAGGAGTGCTCCTGATGACTGAGGAAGTATGACCCAATGAGCAGAACATCAGCGCCCCGACGAGGCTGCTTCAAAGTCCTCTTCTCAGGAGGCTGTGCGTTTACTCCCACCATGTGGTCTGGCTCAGACCCCTGGGTAATTGTCCCCTTTGCCCATCATCACCTGAGGCCCAGAAGTCAGGCTCGTGATCTCCCAACACTGTCCACCATCGCTCCGATGAGTATTCCCCAGCCAGGCTGCTCACCTCCTTCCCCAGACTTGGCCCTGAGTTAAACTGCTTGTTTCCAGTTACCCCCGCAAAAGGACGAAGATGTTACTGACCCCAGACACATAAAGGAATGAATGCATCATGGGCCATCTCTGAGGGCAGGTTCCTAGAGGAAAGCTGGCCTTAGCAGTGCCCAGCAGGGGAATGGTTTTGCATGTGTCAACCTGGGTCTGTTTGACCCACCTAAAGCTGCACTTCCCGCAACCTCTGTCCCCTCCGCGCCCCACCACACCCAGCCTGTCCCTCGGCTGGCAGCAGGCAGCTGCAGGGATTAAATGAGGGCTTGCACTGGCCAGTGCCTGTCCCAGACCAGCTATTCTTACTCAGCCAGGTTCAGATCTTGAGCAGACCGTGAACATACCAAACGTTTTGGTAAATATATTGGTTTAGACGCAAACATTTGTGTACAGGTATGTTATTACCATTTCAGATCTGCATGCGGCCTCCTCCCAGGAATCCCACCCTCACGTCCTTTGCTTTTCCCAGGATACCCACCCCCCCGGGCCCTTCACCTCAGGCTTAAACCACAGATCCCCAGCGTGGCGGCAGCAGCATTCCAGGTGAGGCCTAGTTCTGGTTGTGGAGTGAGGTAAGTCACATGCACTCTGGACCCGTTGGGTTTCTCACCCAGATTTGGAGGTGGAGACGACCCAGCACATTTTTCCCAAAAAGTGGGGGCTGAGGGATACAAGAGTCACAGCAGGCTCAGGGAGCCCTTCTGAATAAGGCTTAACCGCTCAGCAACCCTACCTAGGGCCCGGCGTAGGGCATGTCAAAGGCAGAGGAAGTGAGGAAGTGACATCTGGCCTCTGACTGGCTTTGGAGCATGATTCTACAAGCCAGTTAAATTTTCTCAGCAGTTTCCACAAGAAACTGCAGTGTAACTTTGCAATGAAAGTATGACTCCAAAGTAAGAATGGAGGGAAAAAAATGTAATGAAGTATTAAAAAGTGACATCACAAAACAGGTCAGGACTGCCACCAAGGTTATATAATTGCCCCTTTTCCAAATAGGACCTCATTAGGTTGAGACATGGTTACCACATAATTATTATCAGCACCCCCAGCATACTCATTGCAGATGTAATAAAGACCAAACTGCCTTGATGACTTACCCAGAGAGGCTTCTAGAACTTCGTCTGAAAACTTAAAAGTGGGGAAGAGCAATGCCAGTTCTCTGTTGGCTTCATCTCTGTCCTGGCTTCCGTGGACTGCATTAAAGGGCATTTCTGTGCCGTACTGAGCGCGGAGACTGGGAACATTGGCAAAATGGACAAGAAACAATTGTTCATTTGCAGAGAAATGTTTCGCTCTCTGGCAACGAGGTCACCAGCTCCCGGTTAGCACCCTGCATCTCTGTGAAATGGCTTTCTGTCTGTTGGAAGTGGCAAGAGCAGCAAGGAGTAACTGACGTGTATTCCATGGTGTTCTGTGCACATTGCCAGGTGCTTCACATACATGATCCCATTTGTGCCACAGCTCTGTGATGGACACCCTCTAGTGATTCTGTTTAAATATGCATGAGTCATGGCATAAGCTTGGGAGCTGCCATGTTGTTAATAGCACCACCAGGGACTAGCACCCTGCCAAGAGCTTGCTGCAGGTGTTCATAGTTAATCTCTCAATAACCCCGTAAGAGCATACTAACATTGCTAGGGCTTCCTTTGTGTCAAGCACTGAGTGCTTCATATACATATACATATATACACACATGCATATACACATACATACACCTACACATACAATCCTCACATCAATGTCTGAGGCATTGTAGTACTCATGATTCAGATGAAGAAATTGAGGCACAGAGGTATTAAATCATGGCCCAAGGAAGTGCTCTTAACTACAACACTAGCCTCCCATGATAGGTGTCGTGATCCCATTTTACAGATGAGACAATTGAGGCTCAGAGAAAGGACTTGACTGAATACGCAGCAACCTGGGATCTGAACTCTGGGCTGTTTCACTCATCCCTCATGTGAATGTTCATATATGAATGTTCTGGCCCCTACAACTGCAAGGTACAGCTGCAGTTGCTTAGTCTCTTGCTCATTTCTTCCCTGTTGGCCAGGCTTCTCTTAGCTTCAGAGATGAGACAGCGGATTTGGCATTGGCGATGCCAGGCTAAATACAGGGCCAAGGCAGCCTAGTGCAGTGTGGAGAACAGGGTGCTCAGACTCCAGGGGGCCTCGGGACACTGGGTAGGGGGGCGGTGGAGGGGATGTTGAGTGTGCGGTGCTGATCCCTAGGCCCTGCCCAGAGTCTCTGACTTGGCAGGCTTTCGGGAGGCCCTGCAGTCTGTTTCCTAGACGAGTGCTGCGTGCCGTTCTGGGATCACACTATGGAAACCTCTGGCTGCAGAGAGAACAGTGAGGACTGGATCAGAGGGAGAGGCCATCAGGGTCTCTCCAAATATATATAAAGGGGGAATGGAGGGCTGAATATAGGGCAGGGCTGTCGGCTTCCTTGGATTCAGGTGTTAAGATGAATGAAAAGACCGCAGCTGATGACATCACCTGTCAGGCTGCTCCCTCCTTGCCACATCAGGGTCACAGGGCCCCATGAGCATTCGCCAGGCAGTGATCACATCCTCAGTGCCCTCGGTCCTGGTGAGGATCAGGAGGTGGCTCGGTCCACTGCACATGTGATGCACCAGCTTCTCAAATGCCTCCTAGCACAAGGAGAAGAAACAGTGACCCGGGCCAACAGTCAGTCAGTGGGCCCATCCCGCCACAGGACAGGAGGAGGGCAGTGAGCAGCCTTGCCACCAGCCAGCGTGTGCACAGAGGGCCCAGGGAGGGATGATGGTGGTGACCAGCCACACCCAGAGAACCCAGAGAAAGGCAACGGCGGGAAGATGAGACTTTGACTTGACTTGTTTTGTTACGTGAGATTCTAACAAGCTAGGTGGGGTCATTAAAACCCCACATGTCTGGAACTCGAGTGGATGCTGGTTAGCCATGGGGTGGGATGTAGCTGAGACACTTTTTGCAGTGTCTTGCAATCCTTCCCAGTGCTTCAAGTAGCAGGTTTTCCTTTGGGGAGCAGCCCTTCCCCATTTCACTTGGCCTGCCGTGGCTGACAACCATGAGGCATCTTTACTCCCCACCCCCAAACACGCACACCTCACCTGGGAAGGGGGGGCGGCCTATGACCAAGCCAGGCCTCCCTCTCAAGCAGGGGTGTCACAAGCAGAAGAAAGTATTTGAATCTGAGTTCTCCAACAGCAGCACCTAAAAGTCACTGCCCACGGAGTTCCGCTCCTCACACCCCTACAACTGCCTTGGTTCTTCTCCCCAACACCTTCTTGTTCAACTCCTTCACCTCTCTTCTTCGGTGCTGGGAGCTAGCCTTTATTTCATTACTTAAGTTAGAATCAAAATCTCTCCCTTGCAACCAAAGAACTTTAACCTGATACGCGCTATAATCCTTATTCTGAGAGCAAATTCATGGGCTTCTTGCTGTTCATATTCTTGTTCTTCGTAATAGTCTGCTTTCTCCCAAACTAATATCAATCTATGAATGTAATGTTGGAGAAAGAGAAAGAAATGAGATTATGTTGGAGGTAGGAAAGCAGATGAGCTGACCTCCCCAGCTTTGTGTTGATAGAAAAGTTGCATTTCTGCCTCTGTCATGGTTCTCTCCTCATTTGTTAGAATGTCAAAACCGGCTTCCTGGATCTGTAAAAAGACATATATATATATATATATATATGATGAAAGGGTAAATCAAGCCCAAATTCACATCTAAATGTGTTGAGAAGTAAAAGATACTGGGAAAGGCAACATTAAAAGCAGCAGAGACCCTCAGCCTCTTCGGATCTGTCCCAAATGGATTTAAAATGTTTAACTTACCTAAATGGGATTGTGGTTAAAGCTTCTCAGAAGCCTTGTTTTCCCACCAGCATGTGCCTGTATGATGTCCACCTCTGCTTTCCCACCAGAGGAGAGACATGAGGGTGTCTGTCAGGGAAGCTTTGTCTCCCTTACCTTCATAATGATCTCATCAGTCTTTCCGTGGACCACAGCATCTGGCTTAATGATGGCCAAGGTGCATGTCTTCCCTGATGATGCTGCAGTAAGTTGAGGTGGTGCCGTTAGATACTGGATTCACAGCCTCTGTCTCTGAGGCTCTCGGGGGGCCATCCGCAGGGACCATGCTGCCTCTACACTCAGCTCCCAGGTCTCCCCCCACCCCCGGGCCTCTTGGCTGTCCCCCTGCACACTCAGACTCTAGTGGAGGGAGGAGGGGAAGAGAGGGGGGTGAAGAGATCAGAGACTACTCAAGAGCAGAACCCCAGAAACAACTGAAAGAGATGGCTTAGAATTAGAGCTGGAGCTGAGGTCAAACAGGCCTGGCCTCTGTTGTGCCTTCCTGTCACCCTGGCATGATTCTTAGCCTCTAGCTGCTGTTTGCTGTCTTCTCTCCCTCCGCTGGTCCCTTCACCACTGCTTCCTTTACCTCTGCTGGCATGTGAGCGGCAATGACTGCCCCAGGCCCTTAGTCCATGACTTTTCAGCACCCGCACATTCTACCAAATTGCAACTACTGGTCTCCTCTGTCTCTATAGAGTCTCTTGAGAGAAAACCAGATTGGCCAGCTTGTTGTTTGGAGCCAAGGTACCAGTCATAGCTCTGTGACTAGTGTCTTCATGGCTGTTTTTGGTCAGTGTCCGTAGGTCCAGTCAGCTGTGATGATGAGGGAGGTAGCATGTGATTGTAGTCCCTGCTCAGGCCTGCAGAAAGCTGTAGGGGAGCCCCATGTTCAGTCCATAAGCCCATCCCTACTGCACTCCTGTTTGTATGAACTTGGCCTTGGTGAGCTACTTACACTCTCCACAGACTCTCTATCCCCCAGAGCCTATTTTTTGTTACCAACTTTTATATCACTTGTGTTGCAATGAAACATGACAGTATGTGCATTTGAGGAGAACTTCATACTCTGGAAATCACAAGAACATGTGCACTGCAAAAATGTGCATCATTTTAAGCCATAGATCTATCCATTTTTCTATATTATTTCTAATGTCCCCTTAGTACTCTTGGGAGTCTTACAATGAAATCCTTTATACATTGACCCACTAGTGATATCCTCTAGGGGTGCAGGGTGAGAAGAGAAGAGGCCAGATTAGGGCCCAGAGATTTCCAGCTTAGAAGGGGAGCAAATGAGACAAGGCCAATGAATGGGGAGCCTTCAGAGAGGCCAGAGATGCAGAAGGAAAACAAGAAAGGTCATGACATCTCAGAAACCAAAAGAGAAGAGAGTTTGGAGAAGGAAGATGCTGTAAGCATCATCCAGGTCTTCAGAGAGAGGCTGTAGGATATGACTGGACACCGTTCATGGGACTTGGCACTAAGAATGTCATTAGTCCCCTGTGAGCACCAGAAAGAAGCAGGCACATGGACCACGTGAAGCAGGTCAGGCGGGAGCCAGAGGTGACAGGCAGCCCAGGGAGTAGGGAAGTTCTGGAAGCTCAGGCATGGAAGAGAGAAGGCTAAGGGCAAGGGCAAGCTTTTACGTTATTTTCTAGGTGGAGAGACTTGATCTGAGAGGAAATAATGAGAGAGGGAAGAGGAAACCATCCAAAAACGAGGCAACAAGGGGCGCCTGGGTGGCTTAGTCGGTTAAGCGTCCAACTTTCGCTTAGGTCATGATCTCGCGGTTCGTGGGTTCGAGCCCCGCGTTGGGCTCTGTGCTGACTGCCAGCTCAGAGCCTGGAGCCTGTTTCTGAGTCTGTATCTCCCTCTCTCTCTGACCCTCCCCTGCTCACGCTGTCTCTCTCTCCTAGAAATAAATAAAATTTAAAAAAAAAAAGGCAACAAGTGTTTCCTGCAAAACACTGATTTTTTTCCCACTTGAAGTTAGTTTGCTCTCTGTGCCTCTTTCCTTGTCAGCATCCAACTCAAACAGTCCTCATTTTCCACACACGCATAAACAGCCTTTCTACTTCACGCGACAATAAAAATCTTCCTTCTCTTTCCAACTCAATTCCTGAATTCAAGGCTGCTTTTCCCCCAGAGCCTCAGTTACTGTCAAGAGCCACCTTCCCAGCAACAGCCCTTCCAACTTATGGCTTCCATTCTGTCAGGTCAAGTTGTTCTCATAGTAAAGGGTCAGGAATATCTGTGAGTCCCAGGAGTATGAAATCTGTGAGTTGATACTTGGTGCGGGGTTGTGGGGTGAGAAGGTGTTCAGTACAGCTGATTTTTGGACACTTTAGAAGAAAGGTGAAAAAAAGAAGTGAGCTCTTTAGCTCAAATGAAGACCAAGGCAACACAGCATCATTACTTGAAATTCTACCCTCCATTTTAGTAAGTGGGGCTTTTCCTGATGCATGGTAATTGCCTTGAAAGTCGTACTTGTTATACTTGAACATGATCAGCTGAAGATTGTGTGGTCCTGAAGATGCCAAGGAAGGGCAGAAGGGAGATTTGACACAGTGTGTTTGAAGTCAGGTGATCGGAAACAAAATGTTTCATGGTTAATCTTCCCAGAGTTCAGATTGCCCAAAACACTGATGACTCATAAGGTGTTTTTTTCTTTAAGTTTTTCTATTTTGAAAGACAGAAAGAGAGTACAGGGGAGGGACAGCGAGAGAGGGAGAGACAGAGAATCCCAAGCAGGCTCTACACTGTCAGAACAGAGCCTGATGCAGTGCTCGAACCCACAAACCATGAGATCATAACCTGAGCTGAAATCAAGAGTTGGGTGTTTAACTGACAGAGCCATCCAGGTGCCCCTACTCCTAAAGTTTTTAAAAACTCAGATTTTAAAATCTGAGTCTGCTTTGCCTTTTTGCCTTGCTTATGGTTTTATACTCACCCACGTCCTCATCATCACTACTGCCCTTGTCATGGGAGAAGCATCCATCTTCATCAGACAGAGCCTCGTCTCTAATCTAGGACAAATTGGTCATGAACAGAAAGTAGTTAGCTAATTAAATGACCGCAAGACCTTCAGAAACCTACAGAAGCCAAAAAAGTAAAGGGCCAAAATGCAGAGCCAAAAAAGGAGGTCAAGATCATCAGCCTTGGAAATTTTACAAAATCCCTTTTTAGTAGCCAGATGATGGTGGGGGTGAGGGTGTTCAAAGACAAAGAAATCCATGCCGATCTTAAGGTTTAGATTCTGCCCATTTCCACAAGTGTCGAGTAGAAAAGATTAGAGAGTTGGCAAGAAGACAAAGGAAGAATCGACACGCAAGGAAACATTAAGCAATTGGCCGCGCCATGGAAGGAAGTAGTAAAGACAGAGATCATTTCCCCCCACAGGGAAAAGTGTGATTTTCTGGGAAAAAAATATGATTGATTCTAACCTATTCTATTAAAATAGGGCTTTGCTACTTGGAATTGAATATGAAAACTTGAAAAATGAACATTAAACAAAGTTAAGGCTCAGTGGACAGAGCTCAAAGCACCAGGAAATACCTCTCTCTATCTAAGGTGGTGGTGATTTTCAAAGGCAGCCATTTATTTGTGAAAAACTTGTAGTCTGTGTTTTCACAAAATAATTTATCAAAATCACAAGCTGTGCTGGTCCTATTTCTCATGCGAATGACAGCTTAATTTCTAAATTAAAGAAACAAACCCTTGGGGATCACAAGTAAATCTTTCAGGAATGGGAGGTGAAGGCACCCTGACGCTGACTTCTCCTATCCACTACTTGACTCCATACTTTATTTTCATTTCCGAACTCATTGTTAGGGTTCTCAAAACCCCTGTTAAGAACTGAAGTGAGGGATGAGCAGGACATGGACATATGAGGCTCAAGTGTTCTGGAAGAAGGGGGCCACTTTTTTAAAAGAAGGCTTTAAGAGGCACCTGGGCAGCTTATTGGGTTTAGTGTTTGACTTCAGCTCAGGTCATGTCCTCTGGTCTCTGAATTCTAGCCCCACATCAGGCTCTGTGCTGACAGCTCAGAGCCAGGAGCCTACTTCGGATTCTTTTATTTTATTTTATTTTTTTATTTTTTTAACGTTTTATTTATTTCTGGGAGAGAGAGAGACAGCATGAGCAGGGGAGGGTCAGAGAGAGAGGGAGATACAGAATCTGAAACAGGCTCCAGGCTCTGAGTTGGCTGTCAGCACAGAGCCTGACACAGGGCTCGAACCCACGAACCGTGAGATCATGACCTGAGCCAAAGTCAGACCCTTAACCGACTGAGCCACCCAGGCGTCCCCCTACTTCGGATTCTGTGTCTCCCTCTCTCTCTGCTCCTCCCTCACTTGTGCTCTGTCTCTATCTCTCAAAAATAAGTAAAACATTTTTAAAAAACATTTTAAAGAAGGCTTTAAAACACATGCATGTCCTAGTGGCCACTGTCTCCCCCTGAGCCCTCAAGGGCCCCCAGAGGGAGGCATTTAATGAAGCTTTCCAGGGACAGCTCCAGGAAAGTTAGTGGGGGAGGGGAAAACCCTGAATTTGCCACTCTGGGAGTGCTCCTTACCACTTTGCGTTCACGGCCTTCAGCCAGCACCTTCTTTTCAGCCTCCAGCTGCTCCAGGATGGTTTTCTGCAGTAGCGGGGCATTTGCTCCTCTAACCACCGCCACCAGTGCTCCGCCCTAGAACACGGTACACACACGCTACTCAAACCACTTGACCTCTTCTGCACAGATCTTAATCTCTTCCTAGAGACTGTGAGTGTCCAGGAGCTTTGCTTAGGAGTGTGCCCAAGGTTGAGGCCACCATCTGCTTCTCTGTCCTCTACCCCATGCCTCTCCTTTCAAAACTTCCTCCAGAGAGGGACACTTGGGTAGCTAAGCGTCTGGCTCAGGTCATGATCTCACAGTTCAGTCTTGAGATTGAGCCCCACATTGGGCTCTGTGTCAAGCTCTGCACTGACAGGGCAGAGTCTGCTTGGGATTCTCTTTCTCTCTCTGCCCCTCCCCAGCTCTAGGGCTCGCTCACTCTCGCTCTCGCTCTCTCTCTCTCTCTCTCTCAAAAATAAATAAACATTTTTAAAAATTTCCTTCAGAGAAACGGGGGTGGGGGGAGGCGGAGTTAGTTAAGGGAGAAGCAGGACACACTAGGTCGTGAGTGACTAAGTGTGGCCTATATGTGGCTTGTCCACTCGACAAACATCTACTGAGTACTTACTCTGCCAAGCACCAAGACAGGGGCAACAGATATGAACACTAAACCTGAAAAGCTTAGTTCCTCAATGACTGGGAAGTCAAGGGGGAGAGAGGTGGTCGTATCAAAGAAACAATTACAATAGAGTAAGATCACTGCTTTGAGAGGGGAATGGACGGGATGCTTGGCATTCAGGGCAAGAATGGATTCCCAGCTCCAGCTGGGGTGGTCACAGGAGGCTTCACGGTGGCAGTGGTGTTTGGGTGACCTGAGTTGCCTGCCTTGACCTTTTTGGCAGTCTCTGCATATTACTCACAGAGACCGGGCCTCCCCCATTTCCACCCCGCCCCTCAGTTGCCCTCGCAAGGGGGAGAGGCTGGGCCTGCTGCCTTGGCACCTGCTCCCACAGTTGCGTAGGAGTTACGATTTATGCCTTAATCACCACAGGCTCAAGCAACAAACCACTGTGACGGTGATCCCATTCCTGCACTGTGCTCTGCTGTCACTTGGGCTCCTTCCCACTTCTCCCTCTGTCCCCACCCATGTTTTAACACATAGCTTCAGTCTTCCATCAAAAACCAATGCTCAATGGGGACACCTGGGTGGCTCACTCAGTTAAGTGTCCGACTCTTGGGGTCAGCTCAGGTCATGATCTCACTGTTTTGTGAGTTCGAGCCCCGCATCAAGCTCTGTGCTAACAGTTGCAGAGCCTGCTTGGCGTTCTCTCTCTCTCTCTCTCTCTCTCTCTCTCTCTCTCCGCCCCTCCCCTGCTTGCACTATCTCTGTGTCTCTCAAAATAAAACAATTTTTAAAAATCGACGCACAAATAATGATTATCATTAGCTTCCAATTTGTAATATTTGCAGTGCTGAGCACAGGAGCCCAAAGATTTCCAAACTGAACAACCCTGGCCTGGCTGTCAGGAGACGTGGGTGAGTAGGCCTCAGTTCCCCCAACTGTACAGGGCTGGGGCAGGAGTTGGAAGTAGCCTATCAGTCGGTTGTCTTCAGGGCCTGGCAGGTGACCTCAACTAGGAAGCCAGGTGCGGGGTGGTGGGCCCTGAGGAGCGTGGGGCCAGGGCACAGATGTCACCCCCAAAACATTCAAGTTAGCTTTCAAAACACTGAACTACTTGACTTTCCACAAAAGTCCCTTTCTTTTTCTATAAACATATCTTCCCATCTTCTGGTTAAATAAAGATGAATGAGGATGTTGTCTACCCCATTGAAGGAGTGTGTTTAATGATAGCACCTCTCTCCAGAGCAGAGGACAGAAACCGTGAAATGTCGCGCTCTGATTGTGAAGTATCAGTCAAGAGTGTCCATGAGCCAGGAGCATGTGCATTTGAGTGACTCCAATCTTTCTGGACAGCCAGTCAGGAGGCTGCCGAGCCCGGAGTGACCAACAAGAGCTGTGTCTCTCGGCCCCTTCACCAAAGAGCAAGGCCACCATCCGAGGCAGGGACCTGCATTACCATGACTTAAGTACATCCGTCCTTACCTCAAATAACAAATGCAGTCAAGGAGAAAATGCTCACTTGTCTGGATCAGTGAAGCCTCTTGGTGACTTTCAGTGAGAAGCCTCTATCCGAACCCTAATGATTGGCAATGGTTCTTGCTCTGAAAATTACTTACTGCATAAAACAGAAAGGTCGGCTCACACCTCCCTCGGTATTTTTCAAGGGCATCAAGACAGTCTGCTTCTGCCTAAAGAAAACAAGCTGTCAGGAGGGCTCTGGGGTGCCAGGGACGCAGGGGCACAGTGGTGGGAGAACCACACCCAGACAACGCACAGGCACACACCCCATATATCCCTATAAACACACACATCACCCCCACCCCCCCACACACATAAACAGTCATATACACACACCCCTCCCTGCACTCATACACTGTGACTGCCCCACCCGCCTCAGGTGAGGCCCCGGCTTGCTCTCATGCCTTTCCTTCTAAGGTCTTTCCATCAGAATAACTTCCCTGTCAACATATTGGTAAACATTGTTGACAATGTGCTTTTTTGAAGAGTAAGACAAGGAGAAGCAAGGGTTCCTCACGCTCCCCAGCCAGCTACTGCTCCAGAACCAGGGGACTCCACTGCCTGACACCCTATTGCTGCCAGGACTGATAACGCCAGCACTGAGAGGTCCTCAGACTTTGCCCACAGTGTCTGATAAACCCTGTGCAGGGGCTGAACACTTCCTTCCCCATGCAGGCATTTCCCTCCCACACTCTCTCCAGAAGCGTCAGAAGGTCAGTGTCAGTGTATTTTCTCCTGTGTTCTGCCTATGCAGCATATCGACTTTCTCTTGCACATTTTTCTGGAATTTATTCCCATTCCATACATTAATCCAAGCAAATATTTGCTAGACATTCCCCATGATGGAGCAGAGCATAGAAATCCTGAAATGCTGTGCTCTGGGAATAAGACTTCAGAGTCTACAGTGTTCATGAGCCAGAAGGAACACGCATTGAGGGGCAGGTACCCCTTCCCTGTGCACGGGGTCAAGAGACTCCCAAGCCCAGAGTGACTGTTAGAGGGGTGGAAGTGGGGTTAGGAATCCTCATCTCTAGAGAAACTATAAAGCACCTACAATCAATGTTTGAAACATTCATAACCGATGCCTTTTCAATGATCTGGAAAAGGCAGTTCCTGATTCCCGTTCCTGCTTTTAAGTTTTTAATTATTTTATAATGTCGTGTGACATTCTGCTGGGGGAAGATCTTACTAATGCAAAATGCAGAAGGTCCAGGCCAACCTCGATCCTCATCTTCTGGAAGAGGCTCACCATGGGTTTGCAGGGGCCACACCACCCTTGGTAGACATCGACGACTACGTGGAACCAAGAAGTAGAAACGTTCAGTGGGCACCAGCACTCAGCACATCAGGCACAATTTATACCTGCAAATTCTGACTCCTCTCTGGTGGACACCTGTTTGCAGGGTTATTTAAATGAGTCAAGGGATCCATTATCCCATTAGAGTAGAAGCAAGCATGGAGACAGACACAGCTGCTTCTCATTCTTATGACTCAGTGTTTTGAATTCTAAACATGATGAAGTAAGTGTGGTAGAAAACAGTTTTCTTAACATGCATCATTTACCTGAAGTAATTTTTAGGCTACATTCAAGGTCAATCAGGCCCTCCATAAGTATTTGAGTTGTACTAAAACTGTATATACATTTTTAAGTTCATTCATTTTGAAGAGGTGGGGGGAGGGACAGAGAGAGAATCCCAACTAGCCTCTGCACCATCAGCAAGGAGCCCAACGTGGGGCTCAAACCCACGAACCATAAGATCATGACCTGAGCCAAAATCAAGAGTTGGACACGCAACTGACTGAGCCTCCCAGGCATCCCAAACCATCTATTCTAAAAGAAAGAGGTCACTGCAAGTGGCCTGTCAGCCTACAATCTACTCTTAGCTGCTTTGATGATAAACACAGTTGTGACATTTCCCCCTGATAGATTAAAAACCACTTGCTTTGAGTAAAGGAGAGTTTTATTTACTTTATAAAATCAACAGAGTTCCCCTAGAAAGTGTACCTGATAGAGACCTAGAGGGAAACTTGGGTACTTTTGTAGTCATTGGTCTCACCCAGTCTCTGGAGTGTGCCAGGACTGGGTGTGAGGGCACCCTCTTGTCTGATTGCACTTGACCACAGGGCCTATAGGAAAAGCTAAGCAACCTAAGCCAACCAGACACATGCAGGACATGCCCGGACCGATCATGATGACACAAAAAGTGCTAGGTTGTGTGAAGTTCAAAGAGATGAAGTAACTAGCCCAAGGTTAAAAAAAAATTAAATTCTCAAGCAGTAGAACCTAGTTGTTTTTTCCCCAAATGTTTATTTATTTATTTTGATAGAGAGACAGAGAGCAAGCAGGGAAGGGTCAGAGAGAGAGAGGGAGACGGAGAAGCCCAAGCAGGCTCCATGCCGTCAATGCAGCAGTAGAACCTAGTTTTGAACCCAGGCTCATCTGATGCCATAGTTCATGCTCTTTCAACTCCAGGAAAGAAACAAGGTGCATGAATTCAGGAATATTGGTTAGTTTCAGCCAAGCAGCATTATTTTGCAGCGGAAAAGTGAGAACCAAGTTGGGTATGGGAGGGATGAGGAAGCCAGGCTCAGTGGGGCACTAGGGGGTGGAAGAGAAGGAAGGGAGGAATCCATGAGACTTGGAAAGAGAAGGGAAAGATGGGTGGTGAAAGTCACCTGAGGATGGAAAGGACTCCACCTTGGAGCCAGGAAGAGGAAAAGAACTGGGTGGTGGCAGGGAGAGATCATTTGGAGGAGGGAGAAAAGCGAACTAGATTCTAGACATGCTGGGTTTCCGTATGAACAAGAGAATCTAAGACCAATGGTCCCAAAGGCAACCAGAGACCAGCAGGGGCAGGAGACAGATTTGGGCCTCCTGGCCATCCAGGTGAAGGTTAAGCTCTGGGCTTCTCTGAGGACAGCAGCAAACAGGATTTGCACCCATAGTTCAGCTTCCTGGCTGCTCTGGCACTCCCTGGCTCTCAGTAGTGGTGGTGACAAAGACACACTTTTCAAGGGAAAGCAAGGCTGGAGAGGAAGTATATCAACAGTTTGGCTGAGAGACAGGAAGCAAAAGAGAAGGCATTTGGAAGGAAAGAAATGGCAGAGGAAATGAAAAGGGGTGTGTGTGTGTGTGTGTGTGTGTGTGTGTGTGTGTGTGTGAATCTGAATAGACTTGCCTGTTTGGAGGCAGACGAAAATGATCTAGCAGAAGGCAAGACTTCCAAGATGGTGGTTGATTTTGGAAGCAAATTTCTGATGGCTCTAGAAGGAAGGCAGAGCCTGATAAGGGAAGGATAAGCCCCTGTGGCCTCTAGTCAACACAAGTCCTGGCAGCGCTCAGAGCAGGGCCTGACAGCGTCTACATCCAGCAGATGTCAGCTCTGATCAGAGGGTGCCTGGAACATGGCAACTTCTCAAAAAATGATGAGGTGGTAGTTTTCTCACTGTTGTGAAAGAAGTGGAAGTAATGCTTGTTTTGCCCTGGAGCCATGTTCGGTTGCACAGACAAGACATGCACACAAAGTAGTTGAGAACTGGGACCATCAAAAAAGCTGTGCAATCCCTCAAGTAGCAGAGCGCGGCAAGACTCACCCGCAAAGTGCTGGATCGGTGCAACCAGCAATGATTTAGCACCCACTCTGCCCCAGGCCTGGGCAAGTCTGCTACAGACAGAGATGAAGAAGACCATGTCCCCGCACTTAGAGTTTAGGGGGAAAGCCACGAGTGCTCCTCCAGAGAGGGGCCACACCAAGCTGGGTGTGTGTGGGAAGGTAGGAATTGAGGCACAGTCCCACCCTGATGCCCAGGTGACTGGCTCCCACTGGGAAGTGACCATGCAGAGGTTCTGGAAAGATTTCATGCAAGGAAGCCACTTTGGAGCTGGGCCTGGGAGGGAGGGAGATGTCTCCAGGTTGTGATGAGGCCATGATATTCTGGGGAGTAGAAACAACATGGATAAAAGTAAAGAAGTGGGGAGACTTGTGGCATGTTCAGGAAACAGGTGGGAGCTCAGGGCTTATCTCAGGAACAGTAGGTGAAGGAACTGGAAAGAAAAATTGAGTCATGGGAGAGGGATTAGGGAGGGGCCTTGTATGCTGAAGTCACTTGGTGCAGGTGGAGCTGGGGAGAGATGAAAGCAGAGAAAAGCTGGCCGAGCGGTGTATTTATAGAATTGAATGGATACAGAGAGAGGAATGGAGCCCAGAAATACACATGGTAAACAAGAAAGAGAAAGGAAAAGGAGGGGCAGGTGTGGTAGGCAGCTTCTAAAATGTCACCAAAGATTCCTGCCTCCTGGGGTTTATGCCTTTGTGTAACCCCCACCCTTGAGTGCAGGCTGGACCTAGTGACTGGCTTCTAACAAACGGATCAGGGCAAAGCAATGGGATGTCACTTCTGAGATTCAGTTACAAAACGTCTAAGACTTTCATAGTCTCTCCCTCCCCTCCTGTCCCTCTTCCATGAGGGGAAGAAAGTTGCTCTGTTGTAAGTAGCCTGATGGGTAAATTGATAACGAGAACTTGATGTCTCCAGCCAAGAGCCAGCAGGATTCTGAGTCCTGCCAACAGCCACATGAATGAAGTTGGAAATGACTTTCAAAAATCTGCCAAAGCCACATGACGGAGCTTGGAAGCAAACTGGACCCTAGTTGAGTCTTGACATTCTCTGTCTTACTCTTACACTTGCAGCCTGGTGAGAGACCCCAAACAAGAGGCTAAGCTACATTTGGATTCCACACCCACAGAAACTGTGGAATAATAGATGTTCGTTGTTTTACGCTACTAGGTTTTGGGGTAAATTGTTGCACAACAATAGATAACATACGAGAAGACAGGGACGAGGAGGCCCAGGGACAGTGGCTATGCTGTTTCCTACTGACTATGCAGTCCCTGGTTCCTGTCCCTTGGGATGCCTTGCTCTCCTACCAGCCCCTGAGTTCCAAGAGACTCCCACATTCCTAACAATACAGTCCTCTTCGTGCCTCAGAAGAGGTTTGCAGGGCACCTGGGTGGCTCAGCTGGTTAGAGGGTCCAACTCTTGATTTCGGCTCAGCTTATGATCTCATCGTTCGTGAGTTTGAGCTCTGCTTCAGGCTCTGTGCTGATGCAGAGCCTGCTTGGGATTCTGGGGCTCCCTCTCTCTCTGCTTGCTCTCTAACTCTCTCCCAAGATAAAAACAAACAAACATTAAAAAAAAAAAAAGATTTTCATTCCTGAACACCTAACAGCACTTGGATCTGACAGCTCTAAAACAAGGGAACCCTGTTAACCGACAGTACTGACTGCTCTCCTGAACTGACAGATGTTCAAGTTAGATATATACACATACAAAGAAATTACCTCATTCTTTATTTATGAAACTTAAGATTATAGGAAAATGGTGTTCATTGCAGCTTTTCTCTTCATGGTTCAATATGCCAATTAGCAATTTTGAAAAGGATGGATCTCAAAAATTATCTTAAATTACCAGTTAGTCCTTTGGAACTCAGCATTTCCTCCCAAAGCTCCTGGGTGCTGATGTTAACCTAACATCAAAGAGGAACAAAGGCTGTATTAGTGAAGGTCTGAATGGGGAGATGATTTGATGTATTTACTCCAGATACCTACCTACTTCTCTCCCTCCATCTCTCCCTCTCTCCCCAAAATGGTACAAATACACAGCCCAAGCTGTCTTCTTTCCCCAATCTGCCTTTCTCCTTCTCTGGCTTCCTGCCTCCATCTCCAGGAATCGCCACTAACCTAAGAAAATCTCAGTCAATTTTTAAAAGTTTATTTGGAGAGAGAGAAAGAGGAGAGAGAGAGAGAGTGAGAGAACACACAAGATGTACACATGCATCCATGAGCGGGAGAGGAGCAGAGAAGAGAGGGAGAGAGAGAAAATCCCAAGCAGGCTCTGAGCTGTCAGCACGGAGCCCAACTCAGGTCTTAATCCCAGGAACCATGAAATCATGACCTGAGCCAAAACCAAGAGTCAGGCGCTTAATGGACTGAGCCACCCAGGTGCCCCTCAGTCAGTTTTTAAAAATAACTCTTGCTTGTTGCTTGTTCAAAAGACAACATATAGAATTGTTTTGTGTCCATAAAATGTACATAAAGTACTATAGATACCTTTTCGCAACTTTTGTTCTCACTCAAATCAAGTTTTGACATTTATCTAAATTTATACACAGAGAGGGATTCATTCATTTTTTTCTTTTTCTTTTTATGTGTTCTTGAGCTATAATTTGTGTACAGTGAAATATGCAGAACTAAGGTACTAGAGTTCACCGAGTTTAGGCAAATGCACTCACCGAGGTCACCACATCCCTATCACAATCCAGAACTTTCCCGTCACCCCCAAAAGTTCCTCTGTCTCCTCCCAGTCATTCATGCTCCTCACCCAAGGTGAACACTGATCTGCTTTCTGTCACCGTACATTTACCTCATCTAAAACCTCCTACAAATGGAGTAATGCAGTGTGTATGATTTTGTGCTGTCTTCCTTCACACAGTGAATTTGGGGTGTAGCTGTGTAGTTGTGTGGCAGTAGTTTGTTCACTTTTATTCTCGAGCCTATTCCATTGTATGACTATTTGGGTTACTTCTAGTTTGGGCCCATTATAAATAAAGACTTACAAACATTCTTGTTAAATCCTTTTGTACTTGTGTTCTCCTTTGTCTTCAGTAAGTAGATACTCAAGGAGTGGCATGGCTGGGACATAGGGCAAATATATGTTCAGTTTAATAAGAAACTGCCAGAGGGGCGCCCGGGCGGCTTAGTCGGTTAAGCGTCCGACTTTCGCTCAGGTCATGATCTCGCGGTTCGTGGGTTCGGGCCCCGCGTCGGGCTCTGTGCTGACTGCCGGCTCAGAGCCTGGAGCCTGTTTCAGAGTCTGTCACTCCCTCTCTCTCTGACCCTCCCCTGCTCATGCTGTCTCTCTCTCTCCTAGAAATAAATAAAACATTTAAAAAAAAAAAAAAGAAACTGCCAGCGCTCTTCCTAAAGTGGTTGCACCATTTTTAACTTTCATCAGCAAAGTGGAAGAGTCCTGCTTGTTCCACATTCTCACCAAAATGTAGTGATGTCAGTCTTTTACATTTTAGCCACACTAATGGTAAGGTAGCGGCATCTCATGTTGGCTGTAGTTACATTTCCCTGATGACCGATGGTGTTAAGTGTTGTTAATTATTAAATAATGCTTATTAAAATAAGCATTTATTATTAAAAGAAGCACTATTTAGTGTACTTATCAGCCATTTATATGTCTTGAGAAATGCCCAGTGGTCTGTCCATTTTCTTTACTGGACTGTTGGCCTTTATATTATTAGATTGTAGAGTTTATATATGTATATATATCACAAAGGTGCTCTTATATTCCAGAAGCTTTATAACTTAAGCTTTCACATTTAAGCCTGTGAGCCATCTGAAATTAATTTTTGTCTGGATTGTGAGGGAAGGATTGAGGTTAATTTTATTTCCACGTAGAGGTACGTTTGTTTCTGCAAAACTTGTTGAAAAGACTTTTATTTTTCTCATTAAATTGCTTTGGCACCTTTGTTGAAAACCAGTTGACTACATAAGCATGGGTTTATTTTGGACTCTCTTCTGTTTCATTGACCTATTTTCTATTCTTTTGCCAACACCACACTATTCTGGATTACTGTAACTTTGTAAAAAGCCCTGGAATCGGGCAGTGTGGGGCTTCCAGATTTTTCTGCTTTTTCAAGATTGTTTGGCTATTCTTGATCCTCTGCTTTCCAGTATATATTTTAGAATTGTCAGTTTCTACAAAAACTGCTGCAGATACTTTACTGGGATTGCACTGAATATATGGATGAATTTGGAAAAAAATAAAATCTTAGCAACAACATCGAGTCTTTTGGTCCACAAACATCATGTTTCTTTCATCACTTATTAAATCTTCCTTAATTTCCATCACTTATTAAATCTTCCTTAATTTCCCAGGCAGTGTTTTACACTTTTTGCGTGTATGTGTTTTGCACATCTTTTGGTAAATGTATCCAAACATCAACATCAGAAATAATTAACAGGTGAATTTTTGCCATTTCTTCACATTTTTCTCTTATCTATAAAGTATTCTGGTTTCCATCATAAATGAAATCAAGGAGAAATACATATTATGTTACACGTCATACATTATTAATAGTGTACATTTTTATATAATGTTTTTATTTGGAAAAAATTTCAAATATTTGATTTGAAGATTTGCAAGTGTAGTATAAAGAACTTCTTGAGGGGCACCTGGGGTAAGCCTCCAACTTTGGCTCAGGCCACATTCTCACGGTTCATGAGTTCGAGCCCCTTGTCGGACTCTGTGCTGACAGCTCGGAACCTGGAGCCTGCCTCGAGTTCTGTGTCTCCCTCTCTCTCTGCCCCTCCCTTGCTTATTCTCTGTCTTTCTCTTCCTCAAAAATAAACATTAAAAAAAATTCTTAAAGGCCTTTTTGAATTATTTCAAATTATTTAAATTATTAAATAACTTGTATTATTTTGAAATTATTTGAATTTCAATTACCAACCTGACATCTCAAGATCCCTGAATACATTATCCTACATAACCACAATACAACCTACAAAGTCAGGAAATAAACACTGCTATATATTATTAATATATAGTCTTCCGATCCCATTCAGGTTTTACCAATCATCCCAATAATGTCCTGAATGGCAAAGGATCTTGTTGGAATCATGTGCTGGATTAGTCTCTTTCAGTGTGGAAGAGTTCTTCAGTCTTTCCTTGATTTTCATGCACTTGTGACAACTATGAAGGGACAGTTTCATAGAATGTCCCTCAGTTTGGGCACTTTTGATGTTCCCTGATGAGACCCAGGCTGTGCAGCTGTGGGCTGGCTGGAATCGGTTGGATTGGCTGGAGCAGAAGAGTGTTTTTTCCTGACCTCCTATCAGGTGACACACAATCTCCAACTGCCCTCTTCTTGTTGATATTTACTCTGATTCAGGTGGTCTGTCAGTCTTCTGCGCTATGAAATTATTCTCTTTCCCTTTGTAATCAGCAAGTTTTAAACTATAAAAACTAAAAAAAAAAAAAAAACCATAAAAATTAAAAGACCATGACAATTACCGCTCATTTTTAATACAGGTACGCTCAGGTCTTTTTCCCGTTAAAAGAGCTGGAAACATGTAATATCTGCAAACCTTCTACTAAAAATCCATCTCTCTTTTCTTCTTTCTTACTTCGTCTCCTCCCCCCTTCCCCTCCTCCCCTTCCTCCTCCTTCTCTCCCTCCTCTTCTTCCTTTTTCTTCTTAGAGAGATAGAGAGCAAGCAGGGGAGGGGCAGAGGAAGAAAGAGACTCTTAAGCAGGCTCTTCCCTCAACACAGAGCCTGATGAGGGGCTCGATTTCATGACCCTGGAATCATGACCTGAGCTGAAATGTAAGAGTCAGACCCTCAACTGACTGAGCCACCCAGGCACCCCTAAAGATCCATCTTTTAAAAAATCATATTTCCATGCTTTTTGTTTCCATGAAAAAACCAGAAGAGTTTCTTGATGCCTTAACTGACCTAAGAGAGCTGGACTAACATCATCCTGGGCTCCCAACTCTAGTCCTGAAGGTGACAGAGGGTTCAGAAGAGTCCCCACCCCCACCCTTTTCTCATAACAGTAACTTCCAGAGGTTCAACTGTCAAGTCAGTAGCAACTCTCTGTGGTGCCCCCCTGGTGTGGAATGAGCCACACCAGCAGTGGCCAGGACTCTGAACAGTCGGAGAATCTCGTTCCCAGGAATGGGGCAGGGGCAGAACAGTTTGGGAAATGTCTGGACTTCACTAAGCCCTACATTTGGTAGGGGATGAATAGGGAATGCGTGGCACTTTCTGGCCAAAGGACATCTGTCCCTTGATGTCCTGCGATTTCTGTCTCAGTGACAGAAGGAGCCCGACATATTCTTACCCAGAGAGAGGACAGGGTTCCTGGGCTGGTAAACCCTAGGGCACTGCTTTCAAGGAGCTTACCTGGTAGAGGGAATGCTTATACAGATATCCCCATGCACACCCAATCACCCTCCTCCTAAGCAAATGGGAACACTTGGAGTCCCACATGGAATTCAGAGCTCTGGGGAATAACTTTTGGTTGAAATCACCAAAAAGTATTATTATCCCCAAAGGGGACGTAGGGCATAAACAAATGAAAAGATAATCATACGGGGCAAAAATCTTAGAGCCACCACAGACAGCAGTCAGTACAGCTTTGAAATGCCTAAATGTTCTTGTCACAACTCTGCAGGCTGTCTATTATCCTGTTTATATAAAGGATATGGAGTCTCAGAGAGGCTGAGGAAATCATTCACAAAGCAAGACGTGGTAGGACTGAGAGCTTAGAATTTATTTACAGACGGAATGTACACATAAGAAAAAGTTTCATAACTATGGATTTTACGGCATCAATGCTGCAAAGGCCCTTAGGGATAGTGCACTGAACAGCCTCATTCTACAGATGAGAGCCTATTTGATTTATCTCCACTCTCAGAGTTGACTAAGAGAAGACTCAAGAACTGTATCAGGTCTTCAGACTTTCATTCCAAAGCTCTTCCCACCCTCTCCTTGTATCTGCTATCCTTACATTGACATTGTTTTCTCCCTTTTTAAACTAGCAGGCTTTTGAAACACATGCTCATGCCACAGAGGACAACCAAAGAGAAATCAGGTGTCTCAAGGTCACTGCTACTTTACTCTGCAGGAAGTGCCTGTAGCCCAAGCATGTATTCAGATGAGCTGAACTAAAAGACAGTGTAAAGTTTGCTTTAAAATGTGCACATACTACAGATTATCCAGATGATCTGCTTATGACAAAGCACTTTTTAAAAAAAAAATCAGAGAGAATATAGATGTGGTGGTGGTGGGGAATGGGAAGGGCAGAGCGGGTGAGAGAGAGGATAATCTTCAGCAGGCTCCACTCTCAGCATGGAGCCTGACGTGGGGCTGGATCTCACAACCTGGAATCAAGACCTGAGCCAAAATCAAGAGCTGAACGACTGAATGACTGAGCTACCCAGGCGTCCCGCACTCCTTCTTGTCCAGGATCAGGAAAAAAAGCAGATGCTGGCATACAGATTCATTCATTCCAGGTGAAAATGAAGTAAAGCGCTGTATACAACGAATGTGTAGCAAATAAAATATGAAAATATATTTCTTGAATAAGCAAACGATTGTAAAAAGCAGTGGTGAGAACTGGATCTTCAGAGAGCATGCAGTTACAGAAGCATGCCCAAACTCAAAAGAACCCGACATCATACTCTCACAGCAAGCTGCATTTATATTTCAACAAAAATATGTCAACATCGAATTGTATTTGTTCACATTTTCTTGCATTTTTAGTTTTATTTTAACTCATGTTTGGGTTATGTTTGCATAAGCACTATAAACATAAAGAGCTTGTACCTGATTTTATGTTTAGTTATATTTTAAGGGCACAAAAAATGTCACTTGGGGGTCAAGATTTTTTTCCCCCCGTAAGACGGAAGGGTACAACATTCAAGTTTGAGAACACTGTCTATCACTGCTGGCAAATAATATCATTTTTATGCATTTCTTTCCACTCCACACCGTCCTCCTCGCCTCCTAACCCCAACCGAGCGCTGGAAGCAAGCTCCCCTTGAGGCTTACCTGTAGGGCAATTTCCTTCTTCTTGCTGCCCATGGCTCTGCAAAGAAGACAGAAGCTTTGTTACTTCGGGCTTCAGCTGTTCCCAACAGCAGCCTCGAGACAACCCGCTGCGAAGACCCACAGACCCGGAGGTGATTATAAGTGGCAGCAAAGAAATGCCCTGATGCAAAATGAACACCCCACGGGGAAAGCGGAGCCTGCAGCCCGCAGGATTGTGGCTCTCTGGACGGTTTTCTGCAAAGATCCCTCCCCGCAGGGAATCGGGGAGCTTGCGACGCAGCCCTTCAGGCATCAGAGCTCCTGCCGAGGAATTCAGGAAAAGGCCAGAGACCCCTGTTATCCCTACTGTTGCAGTGTATTCCCGGGAAATTGAGGCACCGCGACGCTCTCTGGACAGGTACACGGTGCTCGACGTGCCGCGAGCGAGTTTCCAATCTAGTCTGCGGCGACCTAGCCACCGTCGTCAGGGCAACACAGCGTAGTTGTCCAGGTAGTAAACTTGCGTGAACGTAAGCCACGCCCACTGTGGGCCCCGCTTAAAGACGGGAGGCAGTCCCGCCCCCTTGCTGCCCCAATTGTTCCGCGGGAACACTTTCATTGGCTGAAACGTCTGTCAGTGTCTGGGGGATTGGGATCCGCCCAGCAGAGATCCTGTGCACTCAGGTACGTAATTTACAGTTGCGGCCGGAAGCCCTGCATCCCTCCTGCCCAGCCATAGCTTCTGTGCTGCTTTTCTGTTGGTACCTAATGCACGCCAGACAGGGGTGGCTCCCGGTTTTGAGGGATCTGAAGGGATTCCCTTTAAGAATGAATACAAAATTACAAATCCAAAATTATGCATAAAAGTGGAACAAATAGAAAACAGTTACAAACATGGTGTGAGCAGATCTACACCAATTAAAAGACAGAAATTGCGAAAGGATAAAACAGCAAGGTCCAGCGACGCCTGGGTGGCTCAGTCAATGAAGCTTCTGATTCCAGACTTCCGCTCAGGTCATGGTCTCAGGATTGGTGAGTTGGTGAGTTCGATATCTTGTGGGGCTTCGTGCTGAGGATGCGGAAGCTGCTTGGGATTCTTTCCTCCCCTTTCCTGCTCTCTCTCTCTCTCTCAAAAACAAATAAATAAATAAACCTAAAAAAAGCAAGACCCAACTGTGTGCTATCTATAAGAAATTCATTTTCAATATAAAGACACAGAGAAGTTAAAAATAAAGGAGTGGGGAAAGCTATGCCATCTTTACACTAATCAAAATAAATCTGGAGTAGCTTTATTAATTTCAAGCAAAGCAGACTTCAGAACAAGGAAATTTATCAAGAATAAAGAGACGACAAAACATAATGTGAAAGGGGTCAGTTCCCTAGGAAGACATTATAATACTTAATGTGTATGAACCTAACAATAGTTCATCAAAATACATAAAAATGTATAAAACTGTAAAGAAAAATATAGATGAACTCACAATCATAATCGATGACTTCAACACCATTTTTTGGTAATGCCTAAATCCATCAGGCAAATCCAGCAAGCCTATATTTGGATTGAACAACAACATCAATCACCTTGATCTGACATTTATACAGTACCCAATCCAACAACAGCAGAATACAGATTCTTCTCAAGTTCACATGGAATATTCACCAAGATGGCCACATTCCAGGTCATAAAACATACCTTAACAAATTTAAGAGAATAGAATTCATACAGAGTCTGTTCTTAGACCACAGTGGAATTAAACTAGAAATCAATACCAGCTGATGAAAGAAATCAAAAGGATTTAAGTAAATGGAGAGCTATTCCATGTTTGTAGATAGAAAAAAATCAATATTCTTAAGATGTCAATTATTCCCAATGTGATGTGTAGATTAAGCACTATTTCAATCAAAATCCTAGTAAGCTGTTTTGTGGATATCAGCCAGTTTATTCTAGAGTTTATATAAAAAGGTAAGGAGGGGTTCCTGGGTGGCTCAGTTGGTTAAGTGTCCTACTCTTGATTTTGGCTCATGTCATCATCTCACGGTTTGTGGGTTCAACCCCCCACATGGGGCTCCATGCTGACAGTACAGAGCCTTCTTGGGATTCTCTAACTTCCTCTCTTTCTCTCTCTGCCCCTCCCCCACTCACATGTGTGCTCTCTCTCCCTCTCTCTCTCAAAAAATAAATAAACATTAAAAAAGGTAAAGAAACCTAGAATAGCCAACACATAATAATGAACAATAACAAAGTTGGAGAACTACGCTACTGGGCTTCAAGACTTACTATAAAGCTACAGTAAGCAAGACAGCATGATACTAGTGAAAGAATAGATACATAGATGAACGGAACAGAATAAAGTCCAGCAACAGACCTATACAATGCGGTCAACTGATCTTTGACAAAGTGGCAAAGGAAAGTCAATAGATAAAGGATAATCTTTTCAAAAAATGGTGCTGGAATAATTGGATGTGGACACAGATCTTAACACCTTTCACAAAATTAACTCAAAAAGGATCATAGACAAATGTAAAATATGAAACTATAAGACTTCTAGAAGAAAACATAGGAAAAAATCTAGGTGATCTTGGATTTGGGTTTTTAGACATGACACCAAAGGTATGATCCATGAAAGAAAATGATTATGTTAGTCTTCATTAAAAGTAACAACTTCTCATCAATTATACTCAAATTAAAAAAAATTAATGTGTATTTATTTTGAGAGAGAGAGCATAAGCAGAGGGAGGGGGAGGGGGAAAAGAGAGAGACAGAGAGACAGAGAGAAAAAGAGAGAGAGAGAGAATCCAAGCAGGCTCTGCACGGTCAGTGCAGAGCCTGAAGTGTGGCTCAAGCCCACATAATCGTGAGATCATAACCTGAGCTGAAATTAAGAGTCAGATGCTCAACCGACTGAGCCACCCAGGTCAGTCTTTTTAAATAAAAAATTTTAAACATGTGCTCTGCAAAAGACTGTTAAGGGAATTAAATAGAAATTCCAGAAACTGGGAGAAAATATTTGCAAAACATATCTGATAGAGGACCGCTATCTAAAACACACAAAGCTCAATAATAAGAAAACAAACAACCCAATTAAAAATGGGGAAAACATGGGAACAGATCCCTCACCAAATAGGATACAGGAGAAAAGTAAATAAGTGACAACAAAATACTCAACCTCATTTCTCACTAGGGAATTACAAATTAAATCAATAGTGAGATATTGCAGCACACCTATTAGAATGGCCTAAATCCAAAAAACTAACAATGATTGGTTCACAAACGGTGAAGAGGAACAGAGTAATAGACACCCTCATTTGTTGCTGGTGGGAATGTAAAATACGGCCACTTTGGAAGACACTTTGGCAGTTTTTTACAAAGCTAAATATAGCCTTACTCTATGATCTAGCAATGATGCTCCTACATGTTTATCCAATTGATTGGAAAACTTCGGTGTACATATAAGCCTGCATGTAATGTTTATAGCAGGTCTTTTCACAAGTGCCCCAAAATGGAAACAACCAAGATGTCCTTCAGTAAGTGAGTGGATAAACAGACTGTGGCACATCCATACAGTGGTGCCTGTAACACGCAGCATTACAAATTGGGTCTACTAAATGCAAGTAATGTTTGTTGCCACAGAGTGGTGGTTATTCAAGCTCTTGAATGGTTTGAAATCTCCCTTAGAACTTCATTTCCCGAATAAATTCAAATCAGATGCTAAATTCCTGGCAGCACACTGAAAGATACTTTTTGTTCTTTCTGAAAGGGTTAGATTTCCCACTGCGGGTTGGTCTCTACTATAAAATGTAGTCACATCTTTGCCAAGTTAAAGCACAGGACAAATTTAGGGCAACATGTCTTTATACCCTGACTTTATACCTGCTGTCCTGTGCAATTATTAATATCAACCCTTTTTACTTTCAAAATAAAGTGTACAGCTTGGACAATATATAGCCACCTCAATTTTTCCCCAAAGGGACCACCCCAGTTTTTACATCTTGATTTAATTAAATTTCCATCTTTCACATGTTTTATGATATCCATCAAAGATTTGATTACTTTGCCCAAAAGTCCTGCCCTAAGGAAGGCACTTTGTTTGTTTGTTTTTCGCTGTTTAATGCGAAAGCTTCTAACCTTAAAGGTTACTGCTGTGTTGTCTGAAAGAAAGAAAAAACAAACAAAAATCATTCTTTCTCCTACCGATTATGCTCACTGCCACAAGATGAAGGTTTACTCAAGGCAAACCCTTCTGTGATCCAATCTGGATACCAGGAGCATTTTCTTTAAACACTGAGGATTGTGCTGTAACTGTGGAAAACAAGAATGAACTTACTTTAAGAGCAAAATCACAAACCAAAGCACCTATTTTCCCAGATAGCTTCCAGTTTTTCATGTTAGATGATAAAAGTGTATACATACTGACATCTCTCTGCTTCCAGATATTATGGTTTCTTTTGGCATAAATGACAGCATGTCTCTATATGACTGGCTCTGAGGAAAGCAGCTAGGAGTAGACCTGGGAGCATTTAAATCTAATAGTCTGTGGGGTGCCTGAGTGTCGCAGTTTTTTAAGCATCTGACTCTAGATCTCAGAGTTGTGAGTTTCAAGCCCCAGTTTGGGCTATATGTTGGGTGTGAAGCCTACTTAAAAAGAAATCTAACAGACTGAACCTGAGTCCTTGGACTTCTAGCTTCTAGCTGTGTGAATGTGGGTAACTTATTTCAACTTCGTCAGGTTGTTTCCTAGACTTTAAAACGGGAAGTATACGGGCTCCTGGGTGGCTCGGTTGGTTAAGCGACCGACTTCAGCTCAGGTCATGACCTCACGGTTCATGGGTTTGAGCCCCATGCCAGGCACTGTGCAGACAGCTCAGAGCCTGGAGCTGCTTCGAATTCTGTGTCTCTCTCTCTCACTCTGCCCCTCCCCCACTCATTTTCTGTCTGTCTGTCTCTCTCTGTCAAAAATAAATGTACATTAAACATTTTCAAAAAAATAAAATGGGAAATATAATGCTTTCAGGGATGTTGTGGAGAGAGATAATGTCTCCTAGATTTTCTTGATAGTAAAGCCATTCCTGTTGCTGTTGTGGAGGTACCAGCCTCTCTCTTCAGTGTGGGGCCGTCGCTGGGAGGCAGCTTCCCAGTCAAGGATCACAGTGGCCACCCCCACCCCTGGCAGCCAGATGGAGCCCTTTGATTAGTTTTCCACAGTCACGGTGGAAGTGAAGAGTGCTACTTCTGGCCCCAAATGGTGAAGTATCAGATGTGGACTACATGCCACGTTGCCCAACATCTGCCAACTTGAAGTTACCAGGATGACTTTAATCACCAGACATGTTTTTAATTTGGTGAAATTTAATTTGTCAGTTTTTATTCTATATTTATTGTTTTCTCTGACTTGTCTAAGAAATCTTTTCCTAAGGAACCTGCCTACCCCCAGGGTCACAAAGACAGCCCCCTTGTTTTCTCCTGAGAATTATAAAAAAGTTCTAATGAAAGGAATTATTAAAAAATTTACATTT